ATTGACCACAACCTTGCCCCTTGTCAGCTCTACTATACACCTGGGAATTCTGATCATTCACATAAACTTATAGGACCATCAAAATCTATTCTAAAATAAAGTTTATTTTAAAAGAAAAAGGAAAAAACACAGGCTGACCAACATCCACTCTAAGGAAACCATGGCCTTTATAGGGGCTGTGGTCTATGTTAGAGTAGATGAAAATCTCCCTAGCTCCTTTCTGAAATTTCTAACTTTTCAGGGGTCTTCAAACATAACCAATGTTCTGGCTTGGCCAAAAGAGATGCCCCAAAACAAGTAACTCCTCTTGAAAACCACTTCTTTGTGATGTCAATTTATTGGTACACTTATGCCCAAACTCAAAACAAAAAACCCACTGCCATTGAGTTGTCTCTGACTCATAGCGACCCCCATTGAGTTTCCAAGGCTGTAAATCTTTACAGAAGTTGATCACCCAATCTTCCTTCTGTGGAGCAGTTAGTGGGTTTGAACTGTTGCCCTTCTAGTAAGCAGTCAAGTGCCTTACCCACTATGCCACCAGACCTTATCCCAATATACAGATGAGATACCCACATATAATGTGCCAGGTGTTCTCATTTACAAAACAAAAACTCTTTGCTGCAGTGAAGTTCACCCCACAAAAAACTCACTGCTGGGCCTCACCTACCTTTGGAACTCTGGATATCATTGCACAGTACCCGCTGCGGCCACTCTCTCCATCCTGAGGGGCCTCGGAGCTCAGATTTCCATACAGCAGTGCACTTTGGTTATTCTTGCCCATTTTCAGAAATACTTCACTTCTGCCTCCAATCATCTTATCAGAAGTCACTATCCACTTATCCAAATCTTCTTTTCCACGAAACTGCCAGACCACCTTAGCTTGTTCCAGCAAGATTTCATGAAGAGGGCGGCCTTCAGGCCCTATCCAATGATTCACAAAATCATCCTTCAAACGCCTAAAATGCTCCTTTATTTCATCTCGAATTGCTTTATCAAAACTAACTTCAGGATTCTCCTCAGGAGAAGTTATGTCCAAAGCAACTTCTCTCTGGTGATGTCCCTGCAAATCTCTTTCAGTCTTCTGAGGGGAGCCCCCTTTGTCGGGGACAGCCACAGGTTTATGGAGACTACTGGAACAGTAGTCTGCAAATTGAGGACCCAAAAATAGGCGTGAGGTAGCACTTGGCAACTGGCATTTTCTGAGAATATAAGTGCCATTCAGCAACTTGTGAACCAAAGCCATGGTAAGAAAAAGTCAAAATGTAAAATTTTCCCTGGGTCACCAGGGAAAGAAGCATCAGCAAATAGTCCAATGGCACCTATAACAAAAGAGACATCAGAAGAGTTACCAAAGTAGCAATTCATCACAATTTCAAATTCAACCCAAGTCATGCATTGTGATATTATGAATTATTTTCCAAGTCTATAAATATTTATCCATTGCCTACTATGAGTAATGCATTATGTACTATATGCATTATAAACAGTACCAAGATGAAGCAAAACATAAGCCCTTCACAGAGCTAATAATCAACCCCAAAATAATTCGATTGTTTGGTGAAATCTACCTCAAGAAGCTGTATCAACTGTAAAGCAAATTTTTATACTAGGTTTTAAGGAAACAACAGGCTCCTAAAATAAAATATTCAATTAATTTACTATAGGACTGGGTGACTTAGTAACACTTTAGCACTTCATCTATGAAAATAGGGGTACAGTGAGCATTATATGTAGAGGCAGAAGACCTGGGCTTGACACCTAACTCTGCTCACTTATTAGGCTGTGACTAATGTAAATACTGACAATTTCATATGGCAAAACCTAATAAAGCTGGTTACCCTCAGGTTAAAAGAGTCCTAATGGCACAATGGTTAAGTGCTTAGCTGCTAACTGAAAGGTCTGCAGCTCGAACCTACCCAGTGACTCTGTGGGAGAAAGAACTGGCAACTACTTCTATAAGATCACAGCCAAGAAAACCCTATGGGGCAGTTCTACGGTCACATGGGATTGGTATGAGTTGGAACTGATTCTGAACAGCACTCAACAACTCTCAGGTAAACCAGCAGATCTTTTGAGTCCTCCCCTACCTAACTTATGGGGTTCTTCTAAATATTATACGGAATGATGGCTGTAAGGGGATCTCTGTTTCAATAGATCTGATGAGGGCTCCAAGATTCTATAAGTCTAACAAACTCATAGTCCAGGGCCCACACTTGGAATAAAAAGGCTTTAAGGTTTAGCCATTATTTAAGGTCCTCAAAGACAGACTCTAAACAACAGTAGTAACAACACCATCACTTCAAATTTAAATACCATTATTAGTATTTTCAAATCACTGTGGCATGTACTGTCTCACTTAATCCACATAAAACTCCTGTTAGACAAGTCAGGTAGATATGTATTTTCTCTGAAACAGACACTAAAACATGAATGACTGCCCTAAGGTCCCAATGTAAATCAGTATTGAAGTTAGAACTAGAACCCTAGCCTTACATGCATCCACTAGATGATACTGTCTCTCTATATGAAAGACATTAGAACTATAACTTCTATGTTGTTGTTAGGTGCCCTCAGTTATAATGATCTCATGCATCCATGCACAACGAAGGAAATGCTGCCTGGTCCTGCACCATCCTCATGATTGATGGAGATCACACCATTGTAATCTACAGGGTTTTTATTGTCTGATTTTCAGGAGTATATTGCCAGGCCTTTCTTCCTAGTCCATCTTAGTCTGAACACTACTAAAACCTGTTCAGTATCATAGCAACACGCCAGCCACCAATGACGAATGGTGGCTGCACGTGAGGCACACTGACTGGGAATTAAACCCAGGTCTCCATCCAGCGTGAAAGACAAGAATTTTACCTGTGAACCACCAATGCCTCATAACATCTATTAAAAAAAAAAAAAAAAAACTCACTGCCATCAAGTCAATTCTGACTCACAGCAACCCCCACTAGGTTTCTGAGGCTATAAATCTTTATGGAAGTAGATCACCACATCTTCCTTTCGCAGAGTGGTTGGTGGGTTTGAACCACTGACCTTCTGGATAGCACCCAAATGCCTTATCCACTATACCACCAGTGCTCCTTATAATGTCTATAGTTCTAATAAAACAATAGAACAATTTTGCCCCTAACTGAAACATTTATAGCATTGGTAAGAAATGCTGCCAGAACCAGGAAGGCTAAAATAGTTCCATCTCCTACTTACGTCAGCTACCCTAAGGAGGAAATAAAATACTCAATGCCCATTTCTTTATTGTTCTCTTGCCGCCTCAGCCACAGAGACCAAGGTGTTGGGGGAAACCCACCAGATAGAACAGGGTGCTATAAATGAGATATCAAATAGAGCACTAAAAACATTTAAAAAAAAATTATATGGCCTCCTAGGGGGAAATAGCAGTGAAAATAAACACCATATTAGCACTAAAAAAAAATTTTTAAAGCCTTAAAATGTCAATAAAGCAACAGTCTAGCTCACCTTGTCACGTAAGGGTCCACATCAAAATGGCACCCAGATCCCTCCAAGTATAACACAGGTCTTGTCCCCTTTCTAGAATGCTCCTCCCTCACTCCCCACATCAGGTAGATTACAACCTTCTCTCTCCTAGATCACTGTCTCCAGGCTTGCAACCCTCACCCCCATACCATTCACCACAAAGAACAGCATCTGTTCTTCGTTAAAGTGTGCCTCAATTCTGACTCATATCGACCCTATATGATAAATTAGAATGGCCCCATATGGTTTCGTAGGCTGTAGTCTTACAGCAGATCATCAGGTTTTTTCTTCTTCACAGCAGTTGGTGGTTTCAAATTTTGTACCTTTCGGGTAGCAGCTGAGCACTTAACCATGGTACATCAAAAAAAAGAAAAAAGAAACTTTACTGTTGAGTCCATTACAATTCAAAGTGACCCTATAAGACAGTGTAGAACTGTGTTATAGGGTTTCCAAGGCTGTAATATTTACAGAAGCAGACTGTCACATCTTTGTTCCACAGAGAAGATGGTGATTTCAAACCATCGACTTTTATTTGGCAGCTAAGCGCTTAACCACTGTGCCACCATGCTTCCTTTATGCCACAGATAGAAGGACCTAAAACACAGATTGATCGTTTATCTTTTCTGATTAAAATTCTTCATGGGCTCCTCATGGTCTTCAGAATTAAGCCCCAATTTCCCCAGAGAGTCCATAAAGCTCCTCTAGATATGGGTAACAGTTAAACCATTACAGATTGTGGTTAAATGATTTTAACTCTACATTTATAGGAATTTGGGAAACAAATGATAAATCTCCAAAATAGATTATTATACAACCACAAAAATGATTTTTGTGAACCCTACACTTAAGCTACTAAATTACAAATAAACAGGAATAAAAATTCCATACACATTGACATTATAAGTATAAAATGTACAGATAAAAAAAGATTAGGGGAAAAAAAGATGTAAGGCTTAAAGTCCTGTGTAGAGTGATGCGATTTTAAGTAATATTACTCACCCTGTTTTTCCCAACCCTCAGTAGTGTTGTTACATTTCTAACAATATAACTTTAATTACGTTTGTTTCATATTTTTTACCAATAAACATAAAGTCAAACCCATTAACTGGACGATACCGGGTAAAAGTCGACAGTACATTTTGCCAGCAACCTAATCCACGCAGGTAGAAGTGAATAGTATTATCAGTAAAGATTGTATCCAAGGCATATTATGTACCAGAAACTGTACTGAGTGCAGTTTCACTGACTCCTCACGACAATACTGATATTATTATTAATCCAGTTATAGAGACGAGGAGACTAAAGTGCCAAGATTAAATTGCCCGGGGTCACACAGCTAATAAGTGGCAAAAACTAATTCTGGCGTTTAATTCTCGCAGCCAGGTGAGCGGCCCAGACGCCACAATCCGAGGAAGAACGTTCACCGCAGCAGGGCGGCCTCTACAACCCTCACCTGCCAGGGTAGGGCTGCCGTCCCAAGACCCAGACGAACAAGCCACTAAACAGCGAAGGCCTCTCTCTCCTCCAACGGTGCTTAAGCGTGGCTTCCGCCTGGGTCCTTCGCTTTTCACGATCGGGTTCATCTCTTTTCCCGTCCAGGTCCATCGGCTTTTCACGTCCGGCACCAAACCAACTGTTGGGACACAAGAGTTCCGGCACGGAGCGGAGATCCAGGCAGGGCGACCAAAACCCGAGTTGCGCGAACTGAAGCTTTTGGCCCATCTGCTCTCCAGAAGGGCTGGCTTCCTCCTGATCTTTACGGTCCTATATGAGGAAATGGGGAGAATTTAGAGGAGCTTATCGCCGCCTGCCTTCTGGCTGCAAGCTTCGTCCCTACATCTTTCAAATAGAATCCAGCTATTTCAAACCCCACTTCGCCTTCAGACGCGTAGATTCGACCCCTCTCCCTACAATCCCTAAGAATTGTACATGGCCTCAGAGGGGCAGTTCTGCTAGAATTGCCCCCGCAGAATCCTAGGAGACTCATCCCTCACTCGGACAGTAAATCAGCCTATTTTGCCTTTTCCAACTCTAGCTCGCGGGGCCACTCAGTCCACTAGGCTTCTGTTGTATCTTATGCATGCACGTCTCTGTTAAAGTACAAAATTGCTTTAAAATTGTGTCCTAATTATTTACTCACTTCTCTCTTCCTCTGCTAACTGCAAGCTTCTTGAATCCATACGTGTGCTGTTCTCCTTTCCCAAGCACTTAGCATTTTGCTAGCAGGAAGTAAACTCCCAGATTGAACTTGAAAGACTTTTAAGACACCATGGCAGTCTGGCTTCCACCTAATCCTCAATATATCTCATTAAAACCGTTCTTCTCCGAGGTCCCTAAAACAAAATGAAACAAATCTACTGTCATCAAGTTGATTCCAACTCATATGGACCTTCATTGGGTCTCCAAGGCTGTAAATCATTCCAGAAGCAGTCTGCCTCATCTTTCTTCCACAGCGTGACTGGTGGGCTCAAACTGCCAACCTTCTGGTTAGCAACCAAATGCCTTAATCACACCATGAACGTTCCTTAAGGAACTGAAAGACCTCACAAAATCAAATCGCCTTTTCCAGTTTTTTTCCATCACTAGTTAACTTGCCACCACCTCCTCCTCCTTGAAATTCTACTTCGACTTCTGAGTCCACAGTTGCCTAGTTTTCTTCAGACTTTCCCTATCTGCATTCTTCACTGGCTCTTTCTTCTTTCTCCATCCACAGCCTTAAAAGTGGGTTTCTCCAAAGCC